TCCGCGACACCCACAGTAAACAAAGATCCGACCGTCAACAAAGCAAAATCCATGAACTGAGCGAGTGATGAACGTGGACCGCGTCTAAGCTTAGCCCTAAGAGGTTGATTTATGCCATCGCAGTAAAACTCTTATCAATAAACAGTCGGGTAAATCAGAATAGTGAGCGATGGCTAAAAACTCTTGAATATGGTTCTCCAAAGATTGGGGGCCCTGTTTAAGGGCTAAAAATTCTTGCCGTGTCCATACCTGGCCAATGTTCCTTGGAAAAGCCGCTGGATCCTTGTTTGGCTGAGTATTCTGTAATGGGGCTGACGAGACGTGAGACGTGTGGATCCATCTGCAAGCTTTTATTAAAGAGACGTGGTAAACAGGCAGGGTCAAATAATGGCAAACAGGTATATGGCGGGCAAAACATAAGAATAGTCCCAGGGCTAGCGTAGGTCACCGATCAGCAGACAGAATCACAGGGGCGAGATGAGAGGGAAAAATCCAGGAAAACAGGCAAAGATCAGAAACTGCAAAAACAGGCAAGGCAAAACGAGGAAAACACCGAGACTAGGAAAGGGGTACAGGCTAAACAATACTCAGCAGAGAATGGTGGTTTGAGTGGGTGTTATATAGTGAGGGAGGTGATAAGAAACAGCTGTGTGCAATGAGTGCAATCAGTGCAGTGTGCAAACCGTGCAATGAATGATGGGATATGTAGTCCGGTGTGCTATGCAACAGTTTGTGTTGTGCGAGAGTCAATGTAATGGAAAGGGTGACCTCTGGTGGTGAATAAACGGAAGTTCATGGACCGAATTCGTGACAAGACGAAGGAAAAATAAGAAAATTACTAAATTCAAATTATTCTCAAAAAGTTATTCTATAAGAATTACACAGTGTAATTACACTGAAGACTTACAGAAAGGAAAAAAATAATAATAACACAATGTTTCACCAATTCAGGTGTAACAAAAACAAAATCTTAGACAGTGACTAATCACAGATAAACACTGGTTGAAAACCAGTATGAGACACACACTCCCAAATAAATTATTCTAGAGTGAGCACAACCAAAAAGGTATCTTACACACTTGATCAGGCCGCATAGACAAAGTCCAAAAGGACACTTAAAGAAACCTTCTTTTTGCTTCACCAAAATACTGAATCCTTATACAAACACGGTAAAAACTAAGGTAACGTTAATGACATAGTAAAGAATATGGTAGTGCTATGGTAAAAAGAAGAGATAAAAGAAAACCATTAATAAAGTCATCTCATCTTTGCTCTCACAATAACCACATTTTCACATGAACACACATTGTTAAACATTAAAACAAGAGTTTTAACAGGATTGCAAAATGCAAATGCTCACATTCGATGGCGTCTGTCACTTTGGAGAGGTGTACTCTTCACGGATGAATCCCGGTTTTCACTGTACAGGGCAGATGGCAGATAGCGTGTATGGCGTCGTGTGGGTGAGCGGTTTGCTGATGTCAACGTTGTGGATTGAGTGGCCCATGGTGGTGGTGGGGTTATGGTATGGGCAGGCATATGTTATGGACAACGAACACAGGTGCATTTTATTGATGGCATTTTGAATGCACAGAGATACTGTAACGAGATCCTGAGGCCCATTGTTGTGCCATTCATCCACGACCATCACCTCATGTTGCAGCATGATAATGCACGGCCCCATGTTGCAAGGATCTGTACACAATTCCTGGAAGCTGAAAACATCCCTGGAGCCCCCAATACAGTAAAACTGCACATTTTAGAGTTACATTTAGAATTTTATTGTGGCCATCCTAAGGCACACCTGTGCAATAATCATGCTGTCTAATCAGCATCTTGATATGCCACACCTCACACCTGTGAGGTGGATGGATTATCTCGGCAAAGGAGAAGTGCTCACTAACACAGATTTAGACAGATTTGTGAACAATATTTGAGAGAAATAGGCCTTTTGTATACATATAAAAAGTCTTAGATCTTTGAGTTCAGCTCATGAAAAATGGAGGCAAAAACAAAAGTGTTATAATTTTGTTCAGTGTATATATATATATATTTTTTTTTTTTTTAATTATTATTATTATTATTTTTTTCACATAATAGATGGCAGTTGTATCACATATTTGTGTTATCTTGCAGTAATGTCTTGTTGCAAATAAAATGAATGTATATATTTAAGGTTTATTATTATTATTATTATTTTTTTCACATAATAGATGGCAGTTGTATCACATATTTGTGTTATCTTGCAGTAATGTCTTGTTGCAAATAAAATGAATGTATATATTTAAGGTTTATTATTATTATTATTATTATTATTTAATAACAGGGTAATGTAACAGCAAATACACATTAAATACCACAGATTTCAATTTTTTTATTGAATTAACGATTATTGTGAATTATGACTCCATAAAGTGGATTACAAAAGTATTTGAGGTCTTGACACCTGATATCTGGTTTAAATCAAGTTTTATTTGGTCATTAAATCACATTCAAAAAACAGACACACACAAGCATGGCATTATTAATATGTGACATGGTCAGAAAACATAAAACAGTCCAAATTAAAGTAATAATTGAAATGTATTGCACATATATTGCAGTAGGTTTTTGGCAAAATAAGACAAAATAGTGATTATTATTTAAACGATAAAGCATTGATTTTTGCACAGACAGATGATTGACAATTAATGAAGTTGATTTGCTTGAAATATACTGAAATTTACTAAATCATCCCACACATCAGCAGATAATTATTAAGTGTGCATATACAACACACACACACACCAAGTTAATCACATGTAACATTAACTGACATTTTCATACATTTGTATGTCAGGTAAACTTAACCTTCAACCTTGCATTCGCAGCCTGTGACATGCCTGTATGTGAAGTGGGTTGGGGAGTTTTTACTGCAAGTCAGAGTGGTTTCTCTCATCTCATAACCTCTCTCCTTACAGCACTGGTGACTCTGTTCAAGCTGAAGTGTGCCATTAGTATGAACCCACCTGCAAGACAACACAACAAATAACTGCTGAACTCAGGGGCCACATATACAAATGTTACAATGGCTACATTCGGTTTGTAAAATCAGAGATAAAGCACTAAACAGTATTACACAATAAACAATATTTGTACAATATTACAGTTGTTTTTTTGCACAAAATGTGTGGTTCTATTATTATTCAGTAAAAATGAATAGGGTCAAAGTTTCTGAGATTATATCTCATCCCTCATCACAAATAATTGTACTTTCATATTAGGAAATTATTTGCATTTTAGCTATTGCATGGGGCTAAATGCATTTTAAATGCTTAGGCTTTCCTAAGGAAAAATTGTTTAAAAATATAATATGAACATATGAACAATATACATGCAAAGTACGAATACATTAAACCTCAGTAGAGTGCTGTTTTTTGTTGTTTTTTTACTTTACCTTAACTTCATTTGTTAATATTGTCTTTGTAAATAGCTCTATACATTTTGTCTTTTTCCACAATTTAAGCACATTATTTTGCACTATAGTCTAAGCTGCAAATAATTGGCCAATATGAAAATACAATTATTTGTCATGCTTAAATGTTTCTAAAATGGGGGATGAGACTCAATATTCATACATTTGAAATCTAAAAAATCCCTGTGCTGAAAAAAAATGTCAAATGTTCTGACAATACCCTATAGTGGCCAAAAGGCTATTGTCAAGGAACTAATTAATGATTGTCAGGTGTGTGCTTATTGCTTTTAGTTGCATATTATCTTTGTAATAATACAACAGACCTTTACATGAACATCCAGCTAACAAAGTGTCTGTGCCTCTAAAATAATGAAGACTAAATTATTCTAGCTTATTTTAGAAACAGACTGATGATGTTAAACTTGCCTGTTGTGTGTCTCACACTGGCCCTCACAAATGGGCAGCTCGACTTCCTGTGCGCAATCAGCAATTGTGAGGTTCATCCTTATCAGTCTGGCAGTGCATGTAATATTACCTATGATGCACAGAACAAAATAAGCAACATATTCAGAGGTGTAAAAACAAAATAGATTTGTATAACCTTACAAATGTCTAATAAAAAATGACCAGTTAACATAAAATAATAATTGTTTGAGTGAATGTTCAAAAGCACAGACAAGTAACAACAAATTCTACAAAATAAAAATCTTAAAAATCTTTAAAAAACAAACAAATTATATATAATTATTATATAAAATATATATATTTTATTTTATTTTTTCTCCATAAAGAAAATTATTTTTAATTATATGTCTTCTCTTAATATAATAATAAAATATAGTTGTTTTAATATAATTTATTTTGTGAGTGTGTGTGTTTGTTTTATTTTGTATAATAGTATAATCATACAACTGAATTGTGGCGAGGGGGGCGTGGTTCAGCGAAGTCTGCAGCGGGAGAGAGGGACGGGAGACGAGCGGTGAGTAAGTAGGTCAAGTGCAAAATGATGAACACCTGTGTCTGATTGCAGTAATTAGCCTGGAGAGACCAGCTAAAAGGCAGACTGGAGAACGTGGTTGGGAGAGAGAGACTGGGACTCGTGGCCATCCCTTAGTCGGAGGAGGAGAACCGACTGAACTGAGTTTATGCCCTGGGCAGATTGAGAACGCGCTGGAAGCGCCTCGTTTGTGTTTTGTTGAACTTTAAGTAAAGAAGTAAAAGAGCCACGAGTCTCCAAACCGCCTACCTGAGTCACTTCCTTCTACCCACTACGAACTTTGTTACATGAATGATCTAAGGACTCTTTGTAGCAGCTTGTGTCTGTGTTACTTCAAGAGAGCAAACATTGTGTTTTATTTTCTTTCTTTCTTTTATATTCATTCATCCATTCATTAATAATCATTTAAACAATTATATGCTAATTTCATTGCTTCATTGCATTGATCAGTCAAATTATATTCTATTATATTTTCATTGTTGTTAAATCTTATGATGGTGTGGTTTCAAGGGATTTTTTTTTCACAATTAAAAGAGTTAAAAGAATGTCTCTAAATCATGGTTTTTAATGTCACATGATGTTGTGGTGAAGCAGTAATTTTCCATTGCTATTGCTTGTGGTATAGTAACACTTGTTGGATTTGTGCTGGTCAGAAGATGTATGAGCATTTAAACATATGCAACTACACAGTCAAAACACTGGTTCCCCTTCGAATGGGAACTCGCACTGCGTCCCCTTGAGGACACTTTGGTGGAATGCCTTCAGCATAAACGGTGTCTGAATTGCATGTGGAAACATAACAATGAACTTGACATTGGCCTATGACGTGCTACTGGTGCGACCAAGAGTATAAAAGGTCACCTGTAGAATACGTCATCAGCTTCTTGTCTTTAGGAGCCATTTGTTTGTGTGTGCGTGTGTGGAAGGATGTGAACAAAAGAGGAAAATAAGAAGGCATGCGTGAGTGTTGATTTCAAAGATGTGTTCCACCGTGCAATAGATTCATCACACCCATCACACTATCCCCATGAGCTATGTGTGATGTGTCTGGGAGCGCAGCATGCATGGTCAGCTCTCGAGGTTCTCGTGATTCTTTCACGATAAAGCTGCTGCGCTTCCGCTTGCCTCTCTTGGCGGAGGACGGAAGCCAAGCGTCTGCGCCCCACGGTTCTACTGCCGAGGCAGAGCTCTGTCTGCAATCGTGGGGCTTGCGGTTGGATCTGGCTGACGAGCTTTTCCCTTTCTCAATCCTCGGTCGCCAGTTCTGTTGCTCTCGAACCGAATCTGGAAGCCGGGTCTCTGGTTTCTTCCAATCCAGCAGAGAGCATGTTACTCGGCCACTGTAGCTCCGAGGAGCTAGACGTGACAGGGTTCGAGGCTCCTACCTTGCCCTCGAAGCCATGCCAAATTGCATCTAAGCTCATGGGCAAGGCATATGCGGTGGTTGGGCAGGCCAGCGGTACCCTGCATACCATTTGGATATTGCAGGCATAACAGGCGGACCTGCTAAAGGATGCTGATGCAGCGGGGGGCGTGGCTCCTGCTGAATTCGAGGAGCTCCACTGCTTTTCCGATCTTGACCTCTGTGCATCCAAGCAAGCAGCTCTTGTCATCGACCGCTCTCTTGCAGTCCCGGAGAGGCATTTGTGGCATAAACCTGTCGGGGCTAAAGGAGAAGGACAGGTCCCTTCTCCATGATGCCCCTGTTTTGCCTGCCAGACTGCTGTTGGGACAGTAGTCCGTAAATTCAGGGAGGTGAGGGTTAAGTCTGCGGCGTTTGAATGCCACATCCCTCGCTATTGGCAGTGTCCTTCTGTTCTCCCACCTGAACCTGAGCCTGCTGCTGGGCCCAGCTGGCAGCAGGGTCATCGAGGGCAAGAAGAGCAAATTGAAACCATGAGGTCCCATGTCTTAATGTTTTAAAACACCCCTGAGATTTTTATTTTTCATTTTTATGATTGAATTCATTATAAGCTTTCTTTTACAGCAAATTAAATATTTTCTTTTTCTTTACTAACTACAATTTTTGTCATGTATTTGCAATCAGTAACTGATTACAATTTGTAAGTAGTCTACCCAGCTCTTGTGGTACAATAGTATGGTAAGGCTTCCCCGTTGTATCACACTTAAGCTGTGAGATGTGTTTGGGTGGGCTATTTCGCGACTCACATCCCACTTCCTCAACTGTTATCATCACAGTGTTACGAAATTGAACTATGATTTCAAGAAGATGGGCATTTCGCCTCTTGCATTCCACTTCTTATATCCATTACGTAAAAAAGGGACAGAGCGGTTTTCCCTCGCCTAAGACTGTGAGATGCAGGGTAGGCTATTCCGCGTCTTGCGTCCCACTTCTTCAGCTGTGATTCTCACAATATTGAAACGATTTCAATCTTGACAACTCTCTGAACATTTAGCATGGTGATGGATATGACAATGTTAATGTATTTGGTCTTGGCAGAACAGATCTGCTACGGTGCTGCTGAATTGCTGCTGCTGTTGGTTATTGCTGTAGTTGTAGATTATTGCTGCTGCTGCAAGCAAGTACAGGAACTTGCTACTGCCAATACATATGGCGATACGGTGCTGTGAGTATTTAAGACATACTGCTGCTGCACACATGGCATATAAAATAACCCGTAGCAGATCTATACAGGTGGAGCTGGGGAAGGTGGAAGGTTTCAGAGAACTCTGAAAGCGTGCTGCAGGAATCTCAAGTGAATGCTAGCCAGCCATATAAATGCAAGGCAGTAAGCTCATTGGCTGCATATGCAGCATGAAACAATCAGCTTGTGCCAAGTCATTTAACTCTCTGAATATCATCAGTTACGTTAACACCCCGTCAGCCTGCGCCATCTAGAGTTTCATGACTGAACTATATATTTAAGAAAATGGGCTTTATTGCTTATCGCATTCCCACTTCTTATAGTATGTTGTGCAATACTATGGAGGGGTTTTTCCCTCTGTATTGCGCTTACAGCTGTGAGATGTGCGTGAAGAGGGTGGGCTATTCGGTGGCTCGTGTCCCACTTCTTCAGCTGTGATCCTCACAATATTATAACCGTTTAAAGAGCAGGTCATATGGTATTTTAAAGTGTCCTAATATTGTGTTGGAGTCCCTTACAACAGGTTTAAATGCACCCAAGGTCAGAAAACATTGTAATTTTTTCAGAATATACATTTAATACTAGAATCATTTTTCAATTATTTCGAAGCAGTTCTAAGCTTAAAGGGGTCATATGATGCGATTTCAAGTTTTCCTTTCTCTTTGGAGACATTATTTACTGTCTTTACATTTATTTTGAAAGATGAACCTCGCGATTATGGTAAGGGGCGTTACATTTCCGACGAGTGCTTGCGGTGTTCGGCCAATCACAATGCACTGGGTCATCTGGTCAACCAGAGTAAACTGCGCTTGTTGGAAGGAGGGACTTTGTAGAAAACAAAGTGTTTGAGAGAGGCGGGGCATAGATGACCTACAATAATGTACAGTATTTGAAAAATAATGTGTTTTTTGAACATTAAAGCATGTCAACATTATCTGTTACACCAAATACACAAAATAATGATCTTTAAAAAAGCATCATATGACCCCTTTAAGGTCTGTAAACCCCTCCCTTCCATAGTCAAGTCTGTTGTGATTGGTCTTTCCGTATACAATGCGTGTTGGAAACAAAACTGCCATTACCATAATAATTTTTTTTGCTCCGGAAGTCAACAGGGTTACTTGTAAACAAAGATGCTATAAGGTTACAAATATGGCATCGATATTACCTTATCAATTCGAGTCCGAGGATGATACCGATGCAGTCGCTCATCCGGCAGGGGCACTGAAATCTGGTTGGCCACCCCAGGTGTCCCTCTACCAGATGTCTTCCGATTCGCTTGTTTTTTATTAAATTTCTAACTGCATCAGTGGCAGATGCTAGGCAGCTGCCTGAGGCGGCTTTCTTCTATATACTTCATTTTAGGCAGTTTCTATAGAGTTATCTTAATGACAAATGTCACTCGCAAGCAGATCTTAAGCGTTCTCCCACAAAACTGGACATGTGCTTTTAAATAGACAGTGTTCTTTAATGAATTGGCTCTGCTCTTGCTCAGTTCACGAGTTCCCACTTACATATAAGTAGCTGACGTATAGTAATGCATATTTGGCATGCTGTCCGAGGAAGGGCTCCGAGCTCAGGAATGGCCCGAACCCAGAGTATGGGTAATGGTGGAAAGACATAACTCGGGGGAGAAGAATTGTTAAATAAGTTGTGTTATTTTTGTTTTCTTTGATGTTTCTTTCTCCACTGATGTCACATGTACTGTTTTACCGATGTTCTTACTACGTGCAGGGTCTGAGAGCGCTCACATTTAAATAAAAAATATCTTAATTTGTGTTCCGAAGATGAACGAAGTTCTTACGGGTTTGGAACGACATGAGGGTGAGTAATTAATGACAGAATTTTCATTTTGGGGTGAACTAACCCTTTAATAGTGTACCAAAGATCCTATAATGTTTTTTTCTTTCTCATCATGCTCATTTTGGTCATTTTGTGGCCACCCTTTTTTGAGGCAGTGCCCCAGCCTGGCCCCCCATTTAAAATGTTCTAGCCACCGTGCTATCGGTTGTTCCATTGCTACATTGGTTGCCACAGAGTGGCATTTGTGATTGACGCTTTTAGAGATCGAAGTGAAGAAGTTATTTATCCTTGAGGTCCTGATCTTGCCCTCTGGCCTCGTTGGTATTGCCAGGAACACAGTAGTCCAGTGGTTCAGAGAGTTGAAGATTCAATCAGCAGCATTCAAGAATTCATGAGGCAATCTGCTATCTTATCTTGTCCAGAGCAACGCTGTTGTCTTAGTATGCTTCTCTGATGTAATTACTACTGAGGGACACCCTTTGCACAGAAGGGGCCCTATCATACACCCGGCGCATTGCGGCGCAAGGCACAGCACAAGTGTTTTTGCTAGTTTCAGCCCGACGCAGTTCTCATTTTCCCGTCCTGCGCTGCTTTGTTTAAATAGCAAATGCATTTGTGCCCATTTGTGCGCCCATGGGCATGCTGGTCTAAAAAAGGTGTGATTAGGCGCATTGTTGGCCCGTTGCTATTTTGAGGAACTGAAAATAGACTGCACCATAGACCAACTCAAACCTGGTCTAAAGTCTGGCGCAATATTTTTTCTTTGTTATTTAAAGAATGCGTTAGTAATATGCGCCTATAGGCGGGTGCACAACGCGCGTACACTTTCTTTATTACACACACAGGGACGCGCAGCAGCCCACAAACATTTTTAAAAATGAAAAATTACATTCCGCCATGTAAATAGCGAATCCGCCATGGCGCGAGCACAACTGACTTTTAAAGGGGATGGGAGAAGAGACTCTGATTGGTTTATTGCACGTTACGCCCAAAAAACACCCATTACTCATTAAGAGAATAGGGACAACCCATTTAGACCATGCGCGCCGACCGTTTTTCCGTCGTTAAACTAGCAAAAGTGGATTCGGACACGCCCTGAGTGCACCTGCGCCGTGTGCTTTAGACTATGCGCTTAGATCGTTAAAATAGGGTCCAAAGTGTTTTCACGGTGAGATGATGTGAAGAATAGGTGATTGATGAGATAGAACTGGAAAGCTGAAATTTTCCTCTTCTGCTAAGAAGAAGTTGATGTAAACTGAAAGGAAGGGCAACTAAAATTATTGAAAGTGGTCGATATGTCTATCAACATCCTGCTTTTCCATGGTTTGCCCTTACCTGAGTAATAGGAAGGCAGGTTGAAGGTAGATTGCCTCACGGCTTTCCTTTTTCTAATATGTTGCCCACTTCAGCATAGCTAGAAGCTGCTCCTTTATGGACCCCTCCCTAGAAAGTGCATTTACCCTAAGAGTTTGGTGAATGATATTTGAAGGGCAGAACATGAATTCATACCAACCTTTCATTCAGCCAGCCCTCCCCAAATATTTCATTTGGGTTTTACAGTAGGGATATATGCTTCCATTTGGATGGATTGCTCTCAAAGATCTCTTCTAGGTTGTTGATCCACAAATATAAAGGCTGACATAATGGAGGTAGAGAGCTTCATGGCTTCCCTCCATTTAACTCATTGCCTACTTCTGTGTTATGCTGCAGGTTGCTCCTTGACAGATCTTTTGAAGAGTACCTTACATCAATTTAGGGTATAAAGGTTGTTCGAATGAGAGTTACGATCGGCAGACCGCGACTATGCCCCACTCTCTCATCTGGCCGCCCTCCTCAAACATTCAGTTTGGGTTTTAAAGTAGGGATATATGCTCCACTATGGATGGATTGCTTTTAAGAGCTTTTCAATTTGCAAATAACTGGGAATGGCTTATGTAGTGGAGCAGTAGTCTTCCCCTTCCAGAATGGAAGCTAAGCTGTCAGCAGACACAGCTGAAGCCACTAGGGGCTCTAGCATATAGATTTGGTCTTAGGACCAGTTTGGTTGCAGGAATGTCCCTGCCAGGTAAGTATTATGGGGTACTAAAAGGTTGAATCACCCAGTGGCTCTAGGCAATAAGCTTTTGGTCACTTGTTATGCGTCTGTATGGTAACCATGAATTCACAGCTATTGAGAAGGAATTTGTTCAGTATGGCATAGTGGGTATTAACATTCTAATAGTGTCAACACCATGATACAGCGCAAGGCTCTCTCAAAAGGGAATGTCTTAGGGTTATGTATATAAGTTGGTTCCCTGATATGGGAACGAGACACTACATCGTGTCACCATACTTCAGGCATGCCTGCGCTTGCATATTCCTTCAGACAAATTGAAGCTTATGATGCCAATCAAGCATGTTTTTTGACACCTGGACACTGTGGTCCCTGGAAAAGTAGACAGTTGCCTTGGCTTGAAGCTAACATTGGTCTTGCAGTTAACATATGGAGGTGACATCAGGGAAGAACTAGACCCCACTGTGCTATGGTACAGTTCCATTACAAGACCAACTAGAGTGAAACATTTGTGTAAACCTACATGAATAGCAGCAGTGATGTTCATCCCACACTCGTAAATCCTGTATACACATAAAAAAAATAATAAATACATTTTATAGATGATAGAACGAAAAAAAAAAAGACTTCTCAGCTATGCACATGAGCAACAAATTTGATTCAATTTGTGATACTGACGTAAGCTTGGTCATTCTCACCTCAGCACAGGTTTGCACCGGACACACGGTTTTCTCAACCTCTGTTCCTGTCTGACTACAGCTGAAAGACTCACAAGGACGTGAAGGTTCTGTCCACTGATCACCCACCTGAATCCACCAGAGAAAGAGAACATATACATACATTTTTCAATGTATTTTGTGTTAAATTTAGCTACAGCAAGGTATTTTAAAGGGGACTCTAAAACTATACAAAACAAAGTCCTCAGCCTGTTGATGCAGAGAGTGTGCAGTACCCTGCCATTTCGCAATCTGCGGATGTGTGCTTTACACTCCCGGTTTAGCATGAGGCATGCTCCCGGCCACCCCCAGACATCTATCACCCACCATCTGCAGCATTTTAAGGCAGCGAGGAAAGGCGCCGAGACAGGCGAGTAACGTTTGACTATTCTCAGACTCAGTCAAATACCCCTTCACAAGCTGGACTATATCAAGGTAATCCATATGCAAATAATCAAATGTCTGATTTCATCAAGTTTATTGCAAGACGTGAATTAGTGTCTACTGGCCTTACGCAGTTCAATGATCAGCCAGAGACCTTTAGAGCATGGAGGGCATCCTTCATAAATGCCACTAAGGACCTTAACCTTTCACCAAGTGAGGAGATGGACTTGCTAGTTAAATGGCTAGGCCGAGAGTCAGCAGAGAATGCCAGACGAATTAGAGCTGTTCACATTAATCATCCATTACAAGGGCTTAGTCTGATCTGGGACAGACTTTACGAGACATATGGCTCGCCGGAAATGATAGAGAATTCTCTCTTCAAGAGATTGGAGAATTTTGCAAGAATAGCGAACAGAGATAACCATAGATTGCGTGAGTTAGGAGATTTGCTAATGGAGATCCAAGCAGCTAAGCAGGATGGTGATCTGATGCGTCTTTCCTATCTAGACGCACCACGTGGTGTAAATCCAATTATACAGAAATTGCCATTCAGCTTACAAGAAAAGTGGCTCACAGTGGGATCTAAATACAAAGAGGACTACAGGGTTTCTTTTCCACCCTTTAAGTTCCTAGTAAACTTTGTATGTCAGCAAGCTAAAATGCGCAATGATCCAAGTTTCTCCCTTACAACGGTACAGGAAGAGTCTCGCAGACCAAACAAACCTGCTTTTCCTAGAGCTGTCTTGACACACAAGACTCAGGTCTCTACTGAGAATCCATCAGCTGCTAGTAACCCAAAAACAAGGTAAACCCAGCAAAACAGTGCTTTTTGCACAATAAGCCTCATCCTCTGTCCAGATGTCGAGGATTCAGGATGAAACCTATGGAAGAGAGGAAAGCATTGCTTAAACAACAAGGCATATGCTTCAAATTTTGCAGGTCTATTTCACACATGGTGAGGAACTGTGATCAGGTCGTTAAGTGTTCAGAATGTGGCAGCGTTACCCACATAGCAGCACTCCATCCAGGCCCAGTACCATGGATGATTGATCCAAAACCCCCTACATCGGAGGTTCACAAAGTGAGTGAGGACGTGTCTGTGGAATCAGAGGTTTCCTCAGCTTGTACAGAGGTATGTGGAGGCAGTCAACTCCCACGCTCAAGGCCTTACACTAGGCGTGGACTGCTATCAGTGATAAACAGCTTGTACGACCCACTAGGATTTGTGGTTCCAATCACAGTTCAAGGCAAAATACTGCTAAGGAAATTGACTGAGGATACTACTGATTGGGATGCACCCTTACCTGCGAACAAGCGAGAGCTGTGGGAAATATGGAGAGATTCCTTGAGAGATTTACAACATGTTCAAGTCCCAAGAAGCTATGGACCCACATCTTTGTTAGATGGCAAGTTCATAGAGCTCTCTGTATTCTCTGACGCTTCCGAGGCAGTAATTGCAGCAGTCGCTTACCTTAAAACAGTTGACTCAGATGGTAATTGTCACACGGGGTTCGTCACAGGCAAAGCAAGGTTAGCGCCACAACCCGAGCTCACTATACCTTGTCTGGAACTCTGTGCAGCGGTTTTAGCTGTGAATATGATGGAAACCATTACAGCAGAGATTGCTGTCAGCTTCAACAAGATTACCCTCTACACAGATAGTCGGGTAGTTCTTGGTTACATCTACAATGAGAGACGTAGATTCCAAGTCTATGTTAGCAATCGTGTGCAGAGAATTCGGAAAAGCACTAGTCCAGAACAGTGGTGTTACGTAAACTCAGTGCAAAATCCCGCAGATATTGCGACACGACCTATAACTCCAACCAAACTGCAACACACCATTTGGTTCAGCGGACCTGTGTTTTTGCATCACCCAAAAACAGAAATTCTCCCTAGAGAACCGTATGCACTTGTTGATCCCGATCAAGATGCAGAAGTTCGTCCATTAGTTACAGTGTTGTATACCGCTGTCTCAAAACGATTCAAACGCTTTTCTGACTGGAATCGTTTGATCAGAGCTATTGGCAAATTGATTCACATTGCACGCTCTTACAAGCGAGATCAAAACGACAACCATCCCTCATGCAAGGGATGGCACTGTTGTAAATTGCCCCTAAGCACTGACATAATACTTCAGAGTAAGGAAGTTGTCATACGAGCGATACAGCAGGAGACGTATGCGGAAGAATTGCAGTGTCTCAGACAGAACAAGACGCTTCCAAAAGCTAGTACGCTTCGGAAATTAGACCCTTTCATTGATCAAAGCGGATTGTTGAGAGTCGGAGGTCGTCTGATTAAAGCGGATCTAAGCTCTGAAGAGAAGAGACCTCTTATTATACCCGGTAAAGGTCATGTGGCAGTATTGCTAATTCGACATTTTCATGAGCGAACACATCATCAGGGTCGCCACTTCACAGAGGGAGCAATTAGATCTGCCGGCTATTGGATAATAGGAGGCAAAAGACGTGTGAGCAGTCTTATCCATTCCTGTGTTGTATGCCGCAAGCTCAGGAGGGGCTGTGAAACGCAAAAAATGGCAGATCTGCCCACTGACAGACTCAGTGCAGAGCCTCCCTTCACACATGTGGGACTGGATGTGTTTGGCCCCTGGTCAGTATCTGCTTGTAAGACAAGAGAAAGCCATGCAGAAAGCCAAAGATGGGCAGTGCTATTCACATGTCTAAATATCAGAGCAATTCATATAGAAGTGATTGAGTCCCTAAATACCTCCAGCTTCATTAATGCCTTGAGGAGGTTTTTGGCTATCCGGGGACCTGTGAAACAGATTCGCTCTGATAGAGGCACCAATTTCATTGGAGCTTGTAAAGATTTGCAAATTCCTTCTAATGTGGATGAAAAGGCGGTGAAACAATTCCTGTCCAATCACAGCTGTATATGGACATTCAATCCTCCGCATTCGTCGCACATGGGTGGCGCGTGGGAAAGGATGATTGGGCTTACCCGCAGGATCTTGGATTCTATGCTTCTTCAGATGACATCCTCCAAACTCACGCACAATGTACTTACCACCTTTATGGCTGAAGTCACTGCCATTATAAACAACAGACCATTGATTCCTGTATCAACCGATCCAGCAGATCCTTTAATCCTAACACCTGCCACACTACTTACCCAAAAGACTGGTACTTGCTCAGTTCCACCTGGGGATTTTGGGAAATCTGACCTGTACAAACAACAGTGGCGTATGGTGCAAAGCTTCGCAAAATGGCAACATCAACAACCCAACGTTTCCAAAGGATGCATAGTTCTGCTCAAAGACTCCCAATCCAAACGGAATGACAGGCCCTTGGGCATCATAACAGAAACTTATCCCAGCCAAGATGGGAGAGTTCGAAAGGTTCAAGTAAAAATCTTTGGAAAAAAAGGACCTAAGTTGTTCCTGAGACCGATCAACGAGATAGTACTCCTTCTTCAGGAAGACTCTGAATAGAATGTTCAGATAATCTGGAGTATATGTTTGGCATTCCCTAAATACCAGACGGGGAGTGTGCTGTTCTACAAGAACATTTGATATTTAGTCTAATTTAAAGGTCATAGTTAGGCACCCTCCTCTGTTCAAAGTTGGGTACTGCATGTAAGTTTGTAGAGTGTTATATGACGATGTCATAATTATGAGTCAGATCTCCAGCGGCAGCAGAGAAGTCAATGCGGTTATGGCTGCTATCATTCCCCGATTTAAGTTGATCCAAAGGCACATTCGGTATGAAAACATTTCTATATTGTGATTCTATGCACTGTGTGTTAGTTAACTCTTTATACGCCGTATGTTAACCTTATTGCCTTTATCGTGCAAATTGTGCGATCTATTTCTGATGATGCGATGCTAGTCATTCTCTGTATAAAAGGATTGTTATGTCTTATGTGATCACGTGATTGATTTACATGCTTATATTTTTGTATTTTCTTGTATGTTTACAGTTTTACGTTATTCCTAGATTGATAGTAAAGCTGGAGAAAAGATTCCTTGCTTCTGTTGTTATTGGAAGGCGTTATCTGTCTGCCAAATCAAGCAGGGCGTTTGATAAGAGGGCAGAACATTGTGAATAAATATGTTAACTATTTCCTTTACCTTGTAAGTTATTCCATTGTACTCGCAAATCTTCTCAGCTGTAAAAAATCAAAGAAAACATACTCTAAATCTATTTTTACAACAGTGGACCTCATGAAATAATCAATTAAAAAGAATATGCACCAGTGGCACCAGTGGCACTCTACACTATGTTATTCTGTGGGAAGATAGCAACATTACCGCAGATCTGATTGTCACAGCAATCAGAGACCAGACTGGAGTAGACACTGCAGACTGGAGTGGGATCTCGAGGTTTGGGTATGCACTCTTCAGTTCTAGTCTGGTTATTACATGTGCATATATGACAGTTTGATTCCCATACTGCCCCCACCTTACAGAAAGACGAAAGATTACTGTTATGCAGTATTCACAATAAACATCTATTTACAGATATTCTTAAACAGAAGTTTGTGGTTTTACTTTTAAATGAACTCTTACCGGCATGGGCTCACCCAATGGCCCTTTACATGCTGAAAAATAAATATATAAGAAATTAATATATTTGCATATTTAAATGACTCAATTTAGATGTTATTTGCATAAAGCATTGATTATTTAGGAAAACTAGCAAAGTATTTTTGCAATATATATATATATAATTTATTTTAAAAAAAATCATCTCCAGGTTACGCATGTAACCATGGTTCCCTGAAAGGAACGAGACGCTGCGTCGAAACGCTAAGGGAACGCCTTCAGCGTGATCACGCTCTGAATCACATGTGTAATCAGTACAATGAATGGGCGAGACGTCACGGGCGGGGTGACATAACGACCAGGAAGCTTAAAAGAATGTGCGGTGGAACCGGCGTCAACTTCTAGGAATGAAGCAAGCGCTGACAGGGATGCTGGAAGTATGGCCCTGAGAAGGCCAACTTCAAAAGGAGTGAGTCTTGACCCCCAACGGAGAGGGGGGATCAGAGGAATCGTGGCTATGGAATAGCATCCTGATCCACCGCTTAGCATAAGCTTCTCTGGCCAGAGGCCTCAGCGCACCGTGGAGGAAACGTAAAACCAGGGGGTGTCTGCCCACTGACTGGCCACAAATAGGGGCACGGTAGGTCGCAATGGCCGCCACGTAGACGTGGAGTGGGTCAACCCTGCGGAAAGAAGGCCCTGCAGGAACTCCAGAACTGTACCAACTAGGCTGTTGACTGGGTTGAGCTGGCGGTCTCCGCACCAAGAAGTGAAAAGTTTTCACTTCAGGGCATACAGTTTCCTCATTGAGGGAGCTCTGGATTGGAGGATGGTCTCAACCTCGGTTGAGAGACCAGGAGCTATGAGTTGTGCCCCCTCAGAAGCCACAGCCATAACTTCCAGCTCCGGGTGGGGGTGGAATATCATGCCCGCCGCCTGTGAGAGGAGGTCCCTCCTGATAGGAATCTCCCATGGAGAGCCATCGAGAAGAGAAATCAGGTCCGAGAACCATACTCGGCCCGGCCAGAATGGGGCTACTAACAGCAGCCGGACACCATCCCGGCGCACTCTCTCCAGAACTCCCGGGAGCAGAGCAATCAGGGGAAAAGCGTACAGACAAAGCCTGGGCGGTAATTGAGAGAAGCGCTCGCCGGAGACCGCTCCTCCCTGGAACACTGGCAGGGTTGGCAGACTGATCTCCTGAGGGCACTGAGGAGAGATGGGCACCGTGTGATGCGGTGTACACCACTCTTCCCCAGAGGGGCCTGCCCTCCGAAGTCCTGAGCCATAGCTTCAGGACCCTCATAGGTGAAGTCTCCTCTTGAAAATGACGGTCCTCAAACCCGCGTTATCTGCTAGGAAGACTCGACTGACTTCTGGGCAGGACCCAAGGAGACATGCTTGGCAGGGCCTCCCACACCGCCAGGTGACATACTAAGGTAACCAGTCTCACGAGACTGGCCTCTGGGTGCACTTAGAGCGGCTAGCTCGGTGCCCTGAAGCAGCGAACCGACAGGGGATGACCATACTAGCTGCTCTTGAGACCTCCATGGAGGTAGCGAGCCCCTTAGCTCCGCTACGGTTCCGGGCGGTAACTGAGAGAACCGCTCGCCGGAGACCACTGTGCCCTGGAACACCGGCAAGCTTGGCAGACTGATCTTCTGAGGGCACTGAAGAGAGATGGGCAGCATGTAATGCGGTGTACACCGCTCTTCCCCAGAGGGAGTTGGCCCTCAGAAGTCCTAGACCTTGGGCGTCAGGACGTTTTAGACGAAGACTATCCAGCGAGAATGACGGTCCGCAGAAGCGCCTTCCACTAGAAGCCTTCGGCCTGGGAGCGCCCCTATGACTCTAGACTCTGCGGAGTACGAGAAGTGACGCCCCCAGAATGAGGAGCTGGAACACGGTAGGTTGGGACTGCTCCCGCCCAGCAGCACCCGCTGACCGCCTCAACCTCCTCAGAGGAAGAGAGGTAAACACGTGCTCTCACTCGAGAAGTTTTTTATCCCAAGAGCCCCTGTATATCTAACTTCTCATAATCAGATAAATACTTCATTTTATTCCTCAGAATTAAATGCAATCAAACAATCAAACGAGTAAACATGGTCTGGTGTGGTAAGATTCACATCAAAAACCGAAATGATGTAATACACGTGTTGCCTTGGCAGCGCGCGAGCCACTTGGTCACACAAACAATATCAATCTCCTCTGAGAAAAATAGCTGCAGCAGCGAGCTCTCACTCAGAGTGGGAAGAAACCGCAGTGCGGGCTTCCGAGCCTCGAGAACGAGCTCTAGATCTAGGGAACGCGGGTGGATATAGGAAGAGACGTCTCCAACCTGTCCGCCAGATCATGTGTGATCCCTGCGATCTTAGTCGCCGCCGTACCTCAGCAGAAGCGGGACCGGAATCGCAAGATCACAGGCACGGACACAATCCTCGGAGCGTGCCTGGCGAGAGCGGAGCACTTAACAGCGGGAAAAGCACAGTCAGCCCCTTGAATGCCGACTGTGGAACCCACGAGCACAGCCACAGCTCGGCACCGTGAGAAATGCTAGTGAAGGCTCCCTCCTCAAAGAGAGCCCTCTGAGAGCAAAGCAAGGCAGTAACAAAACGCTTGCAATGCGAGCTGACTCTGCGTGCTTCACTCCCAAGCAGACAACACATAAACTGTGTGTGTCCCCACCCGAAATATAGCACGGGCAGGGAGGAACATACAGCCTGAATGCTGCCTGCTCGCCCAAATGCTTCTCTTGACTGAAGCTTTGACATAATGGAACTTATAAGTGGACAAACAACACTAAATAAGACTCATAAACAGATAGCGACACACACACAGAGCGCTTGCTGAATGACAGAAAGCTGACGCCGGTTCCACCGCATGTGCTTTTAAGCTTCCTGGTCATTACATCACCCGTTACATCATCCTGGTCGTTACACACCGTGACGTCTCGCCCATCCATTGGACTGATTACACATGTGATTCAGAGCGTGGTCACGCTGAAGCCGTTCCCGTAGCTTTTCAACACAGCTCGAGATCTTGAAGGAGAACTCAATTAAAAATATTATCGTAACACAACTTTTGTCATGTTGCTCTCGGGATTGGCTATTAAATAAAAACTGTTGTTTTGTAGTATTTGATTGAATTCGTCACTCACTTGTGCATTCAGACACACATATTTTCTTGTGTTCTTCTGCAAGCATCTGGTCATCTGGACAAAAGCAACCTGATCTCAGACCAACCACATAGGTTGCAGGCACGCGAACACTGAGGAGACAATAGGAGATGGGCATGAGGTCATACATGAAACATTATGCCTAGCAGCAAACATGCAATCCTAATCCTAAGCAAAATCAAATCAAATCAAATACTATTTAAAAGAAAAAATCTACACAAAGTAAAAGGTGGTGCATTGGCAGTTTTTCATTGAAACTCAATCTTTTAATTGCAAGGTGAAATGTGAAGCAGGGCTTGAAATCTGGGAATGCTTGAATCATTTAAAGTAAAATCTTTCTCACCCGCCTTGACAGACATCATTTGGAGACTCTTGACACTCGTTGTACATCATTCCTTCAGGACATGTGATCTCTAAAACACAGTGGAATATTATTAGAAGAGCACGACGCTTTGAAAGTCTACTACTAAAGCATTTTGTTATTGGAGATTAGGTTACCATATCAAATGCACACAGAAAACAAAGTTTTGGCCAGTAAAATTACAGTAACTTATCCTACAATATCAAACTATGAATTCCACAAATTCAAACTTTTATGAACCTCAAAGGATTCGTAAAGACTTGCAGGTATTTAAGCATGTATATATGTAAACTATTAGGTATTAAGATGATGTTGATATGTTGTAGACATCAGTACACAAATGTACAAAAATATAAGCGTGCTACTGTGCTTTCATACAGTTTTCTTACCACAGGAGCCATTGGTAAGGTATCTCCAGTCCACACAAATACCAATCCTTTTGCACTCTGATGCTGCATACTCCAGAGAGGAACAGGCACCAACACGACTATTGTATGAACAGTAGTCAAACTGGCAATTCTTCTCCACAGCCATAAGATTGATCGTTTCACCACACTTCAGAAACACTCTGAGTAAAAGATGTTAGCACCAATTATTACAATGCAATAAGCCAAAAAATATCACCAAGTTGTTTTTTTATTTTTATTTCCATAACCGAGCTGTTATGCTTATTGACCTCAGTGGATTTAAAAATATCCAACAGTGGCTTACTCATGGTGAAGGAGGTCGCATATTGTAGGATTGCAGGAAGGTGGAGGTGGAGGTGCCGAGGTAGGGACACAAGGAACACTGGTGAGTGCAGATTTGCAGTAGGGTTTCAGAGGGTCTTCTACAACCCAATCATATGCAGTCTTATCACAACAGTTGTCATCTTCAACTACACCATTTCTTCGTATGCACGACTGCCCACCACAAACACCTATGAAGTCAAATGGAGAATGAGTGCCATAAAACAATTTCTTTAAAGTCTGTGATATCCTATGTACCATGAACCATACATTGTCTAATGTGCCAATTACTTTCCATCAAAGGTTAAATGATTTTAATGGCGTACCACACTGTCCTTGGGTGTTGTTTTGGAAGTGCTCCATTGCCAGGTTGATTAACAGATTGTTGAAAGGTGTGAGAGAAACATAGGAACGGATAGGCTTGATGTACATGTAGACCTGGCTACCACTGCTTTCAAACTTGAAGACCTGATCTTCGTATGGTGGTTTTATAATCTCCTGGTTCAAAGTAGACTGGAAAAAGATAGAGACAATCTGCTTATCATCAAAGCTCAAGGGAACTATCATCCCCAGTCATTCACAGAAATAGACCAGCAGAGAACTGTGGGTTTGGGGCAAAAATCTATTTTATTGTTAGATATTAGAGTTTCTTGAGCTTGAGTTGAGTTTATTTTCTTTGAACATTCAGAGATGTTTGGTTAAAAAATAATAGTATATGTCATTTGGTATTGATAATATAAAATATACATAATCAAATGTATGGCTCTGTGACACTAATACATTAGTACATTAGTAGAATAGCATATTTTTAAATGTCATTAGAAACCTACCTCTACCGTGAACTCCTCTGTTACCATAAGTGTGGCAATGTCATTCCAGTACTTTAATGTGATTCCCCTAGAACAGGAATTATCAATTTCCGGCACACAGTAGTAGTTGTCTACAGTAATGCTTAATCGGTGCTGCAGTACTTGCTCCTCCACTAGAGTGTATGTGCAGTTGTCCATGAAGTCAAATGTGATCCCCTGGAAGGAGATGTAGTGTGGGTCTCCATAAACCTGACACTGGCCTGAGAACGAAAACAGATCAAAGTTGATGTTGAAGCAAAATGATACAAACATTTCTAAAAATTTGTAAAATAAATAAATTAATTAATGTAATTAATTTCCCAATGTCCCTTTTTATTTTCAATTCCAGTCTTCATACGTTTTGTATGTATCTCTTATTACTTTAGATGTGTGTTCTATTCGACCATAAGTGCCCTGGACTTCACATGACATTCTGCTATGATTCCATTTCGAAGGGAGTGTATATGTACCATTCAAATGGCATTAAAGTGTGCAAGACGTGAATTTAAATTGTATAATGTGAATATAAATTGTATTTATTTTCAGAGGTATAATATGTCACACTTCACACTTCTCTAATAAGTTTAGTCTGTGTGTGAAGATGCTGCAGGCAGTGGCATAGTGCAAAACCACGAATGAATGTTCCGAAATGAAGTAAACTTCAATGGATTTCCCATGCTCAGAGAGTAGGGAGCAATTAACACTGTGTAGGGACCTTGTCAATTGGAACACAGTTCATGCTCTGAGCTCTCTTCTAATGAGCTGATGATCTGAATCAGTTGTGATAAATAATATAGATGTGCAAAATAGGACTGGAATTGAGAACCATTAGGCTAGACAAACATATAGCCACACTACTAACTAATCAGGTAATCTGGTTTAGTCAATATTAGTCAGTTTACTTACAATCACACTCCCAGCTCTCGCAGCAAGTCTCTTTATCTTTGACCAAAGACATCTTGTTTCCTGGGCAATAAGTCTTGATTGTGGGTGTTGGACAAGTAATAGATTTTACCTCAATCACTCCAGCCTTACAGACTTTATCAGCACAATTCTCTCTCCAAGTTTCTCCACATGACCAGCTTTGATTTCTCATCACATCTTTACACTCACACACTAATTAAAAAAAAAGACATAAACATAAGATCTGTAATTTAAGCAGCAGTAAGCCCTGGGGTTATGTTATCATGTAGTAGTGTATTTGTGAGTTCAATGACTAGTACTATTACCTGGAGTTGTGTGTTCAGTGGTAGGTATTGTAGTACTGAGTACAGATGTCAGAGAAGGGGTCGTAATTGTAGGATTAATAGTCGTATACAGTTTTTGAGGTGACCTTGTAGTTAGATTGGTGGTAACAGGGCCAGTGACTATTATTAATTCTAGTGGGAATGAAAACAAAAAACAAAACAAAAACTTAAGAACAAAATACATTTGCATGGCAGTTTTTTTTAGTACATTCACAATATTTTGCCACTTTGTGTTTATTATGATATTACTGGTGTTATATTTCAAGAAAACATTGTTTAAATGCTCATTCTAACACAAGTTTATATTTGTAGGGGCTTTTATACCTGTTGTGGACACTGTTGACACTGAAGTGCTATATTTTACTGAGGTTGTAGTTCCAGTAGTTGCCTGAGTTCTGGTTGTGTATTGTTTCGTCGCTATTGTTGGTTGAGTTGTGCTCTCACTTGTTGGTGGTTGTGTTGTGGTTTTATATTCTGTTGTGCTCTCAGTTGTTGGTACTTGTGTTGTGTATTCTGTTGTACTTTCTGAAGTTGGTGATTGTGTTGTGGTTGTTTCTTCCAATGGAGTTGTATCTGATTCTGTTGTCCTCTTTGTTGTTGATTGTTGGGTTGTGTATTCTGTTGTGCTCTGTAAAATTGGTGGCTGTGTTGTTGTTTCTTCCACGGGAGTTTTATATGATTCTGTTGTACTTTCAGTTGTTGATGGACGTGTTGTGGTTCTGTGTTCTGTTGTGCTCTCGGTTGGTGGTGGTTGTGTTGTGGTTGTTTCTTCCACTGGAGTTGTATATGATTCTGTTGTACTTTCAGTTGTTAGTGGATGTGTTGTGATTCTGTGTTCTGTTGTGCTCTCAGTTGGTGGTGGTTGTGTTGTGGTTGTTTCTTCCACTGGAGTTGTATATGATTCTGTTGTACTTTCAGTTGTTGGTGGATGTGTTGTGATTGTGTTCTGTTGTGCTCTCGGTTGGTGGGGGTTGTGTTGTGGTTGTTTCTTCCACTGGAGTTGTATATGAATCTGTTGTACTTTCAGCTGTTGGTGGATATGTTGTGATTCTGTGTTCTGTTGTGCTCTCGGTTGGTGGTGGTTGTGTTGTGGTTGTTTCTTCCACTGGAGTTGTATATGAATCTGTTGTACTTTCAGCTGTTGATGGATATGTTGTGATTCTGTGTTCTGTTGTGCTCTCGGTTGGTGGTGGTTGTGTTGTGGTTGTTTCTTCCACTGGAGTTGTATATGATTCTGTTGTACTTTCAGTCGTTGATGGATGTGTTGTGGTTCTGTGTTCTGTTGTCCTCTCGGTTGGAGGTGGATGTGTTGTGGTTGTTTCTTCCATTGGAGTTGTATATGTTTCTCTTGTACTTTCAGTTGTTGGTGGATGTGTTGTGGTTGTATATTCTGTTGTTCTCTCTGTAGTTGATAGTTGTGTTGTGTATTCCTTTGTGCTCTGTGAGGTTGGTGGTTGTGTTGTGATTTTGTATTCTGTTGTGCTCACAGCTGTTGTTAGCTGTGTTGTAGTTGTGTCTTTAATTGGAGTTGTAGATTCTTTTGTCTTCTCAGTTGTTGGCTTCGTTGTGTATTCTGTTGTTGGTCTTATGTATTGTGTTGTGCTCTGAGTTGTTGGTGGTTGTGTTGTGGCTGTGTGGGTTATTGTTGTAGATGGCTGAGATGTTGATGTGTAATAAATTGTAGTCGTAGTTGTAGATGTAAATGTAGGAGTGCAGACAATTTGTCCATCAAGGCATTTACTAAGCAAAAAGAACACAAACTAATTAATGGTAAGTCTGTAGTTTTATACATTTATAAAAATAAAAGTTTTATCTTTAATTTTCTTTCCATCATTACAAGAAGAGTCTACAAAATGGCTTACCAGCATGTATAAGAAGTACACATTTCGTCAGGAGATGAAAACACTCTGTTCATGAAGTTGCAAGTGCAGTTGTCCAAAGCGGTGCATTTACCTAAGTTTTCGTCATAATATGGCGTCTTTTCAGGGCATCTTGGGTAGCAACCTGAAATGTCATGCATTGTTTGGTGTTTAAAAACATATTTAAATAACATGTTTAAATAGTTTCTGTGTTTCTAATGTCTAGCAGTACAGATAAATTACTGCAGTACAACAGTAGAACCAAGGAACAGGAACAGAAAGGGGTAAAATACCTTCAAGTTTTCCTGTAAAGCGGTTCTTAGTGCCACAGGTCTTAACCTGGCCACAGGGATTGTAATGCCAGGTGCACTGGCCCACGTCATTGTAATAGTCACAATACACCGCTGTGGAGATGAACAAACACTCTAATCACTTGACTAGCTCAGTAATAACCCAGGTACGCATTTACCAGGAAATGCTGGGAAATTCTTAATTGTTTCCAAAGTCCAATCCAATGATTATAGTAGAATGCAATACATACGACACAAATCTGGGGTTCTCCAGTTGATGCAGACGTCCTTTGCACTGCACGCCTCTGCGTAAGCTGAGACAGCAGTACAAAAGCCGAGAAACTTTCCCTCAAACTCACAAGAACAGGACTCCAAAACACAGGCCTGGTAATAAGCCTCTGGATCCACCTAGTATTCATAAGACAGCAACAGTTACTGACTGACAAAAAATGTATTATATTAAATATATTGTGTACCTGAACCTACTTCCAAACTCAGAAAGAGTTTGATGAACTTAATGGTCAGAAATGTTTGATATAGAAACAGTGCTTTATTTAGTTAAAGTCAATGAGCCAAGATTAAACATCAGAAATAACTTTATTTAATTAACTAATGGCACTGTAAGGTACCTTCAGATGGCAATCTATAAAGGTGTCTGATCTCAGGATCATACATCGCCGCTGGGCCCAGGCTGCACAGTAGGAGTGTCGTTCACAAGGAAATATTTCATGGGTTACATCTGAGCATGGCGGAGCTGCAGTCTTCCAACTATTCCCAAAGTCCAAAACACTGAAAACTTCTGAGGAGATGCTTGTCAGAAGGTCGTTTGTCACCTTCCCATCAAAGTTCCCACAAAGCCCTAGCACTCGGCCCTAAAGTTCCACAGTTGAAAGAGAACATTTGCATATCTTCACCACTCATGTTTCAGGATCTGTATTCCTTGTTGATCCTGAACCAACATTCTTATCAAACTATCATAGTCCTAACCTTACATGTCCACTCTATCCCTAACCTTGTCCTATTGAGGAGATCAGATAGATATGTTCTTAAAGGGGTAGTTTGCCCAAAAATAAAAATTACCCCATGATTTAATCACCCTCAAGCCCTCCTAGGTGTATATGACTTTCTTCTTTCAGACGAACCAAGGTCAGGGCTAGAAGACTGTTCTTACCATTTTTTACAGTTTGTCTCCACACTCTGCCCAGTTTCATACACTCTCCCACTGAATTCACAGGTGCAGTTTTCATGAGTCACACAACCACCATTATGATTTTCAAAAAGGCCATCCGGACAATAACAGCCACTGATGCAGCTGTTGCCATCACTCTGTGAATAACATCAGCAATTTAACTCAGACCCTTGCAGAAAATGAACAGTATGAACAGCATATAGCAAGATGTCATAATGCCAAATTTGGAAAATATATATATATATATGTGCGTATATATATATTTAAATACACACATTAAAAGGCACTGGTTCAGTATTCTGTAATTTAATGTTGTTGTGTTTTGTTGTTGTTGTTTTTTCCAAATGTAAAGGGATGATTTCACTTACTGCAAACTTCAGGACAATGAAGTTGCCCATTTTCACACAAGCTGTAATACAAAATGTACTCAACATGACATAAACATAACATAACATTTTTTTGAACGGAGTTGTTATCACCCTTACCACTGGCGTCCACCGATAACCACTGGGCCTGGAGGTGTGACACCTCCAGGATGGTGGCAGCTACACAGTGAACGAGGGCTGCAGGTCTGTTGGTTGCTCAGGTGGGAGTCTGATGTGCATCCACACCCCTCCACAGGGTCATCCACCACCTCACAGGTGGGATCAGGGCCCGAGAGGGAACGGCAGGTATGGTTACATGCCAACGCTGCGTAAGCAAACCTCAGGTTGCCCATGCACAAAGGAACTGAAACCCGGAATGATATACAAAAATCCAAAATAAAAATTAAGAAGAAATATATATATAATTTATGTGATGTTGTTACAGTGTAATTAGACAAAAAAATATTAGTAAAATGTAAATATATCACAAAAAATGGCAAAACAAAATTTGGTTAATTGTGCTAAGGACGCGTTTTCAGCCATTTCGGGGGGGGGGGGGGTGCAAAGATGCTGTTGCTGTAATGATGAGAGCTTATTTTCCTTTCTTTCTTGTTTTTTTTTTTTTATAAAAATTATCTGCAGCACCTACAGAAATACAATTGAAAACCATTCATTGAATAAAAGCTTGTCACTCACTGCAGTTTATTTCTGATCTCCAGTCGCTATCAATGATTCCCTGAGTTGCACAGGCTTTTGCGTAGTTACCAAAGGAGACACACAAACATTCCTGTAATGCAGTCGAGCACTGACATGTTCTTTTCACACATGCCTGAGAAGAATCAGAAACAGATTAATAACAGGAAAACTACCATGAATTTCAAAATGATCAAATGTGTTTATGGATAGGAATATATCCTTGCCTCGACATAGGGCGAAACAGGAACGTAATCATGACACACAGCAAACACTCCTTCTGGATCTGTCAGTTGGTCACAGTTCTCCTCTGCAAATATCTCTTTAAATGGAATGAATATCAGTGGTTATCTTGGAAAATAACTTTGATATGGTTAAGCAGTTAGGCTAAATGAAACTTACCGTTTTCAGTGTTGATGCATCCAGTAATTAGGGTACAAGTGCCCATTGACCAGGACCGGGCAAAAAGCTGAACCGAACTTTCTATGATACCGCTAAAAGTAGTGAAGTCATCGCTTGTGTCATTATTAAAAGTTCCACAAAGACCTATAATAAAAGCACTTGCTTTAATAACAACATTCAAATTCAACTGACTCATTGAGTTCTACTGTATATATAACTACATTTTGCTAAATTGCTGTAATGTGCCTTGAGGTTGGCTTGCATGAATATAGATTATTCAAACCTTTGGTATTTGCGGTTGGCGGCAAATTCAGATATATTTGAATTTCTGGAGACACTTGAACTTGCATTTTCAAGCCGAATGAAGTCTGAACTTGAATGAACATTGAAGACTGCCAAAAGACTCTGGTAGACTCTGAAACAAAAGCCAGTAACATAGCAATTTTGTAAAGCTAATGTTAATGTTTCAGACTTGTCAAGGTAATATGAATATTTCAAACTTATAAATCTAATATGACAAATTCTAAAAGAGCCTACCAGTCTGTGATAGGTCACTGATTTCTATGTTGTTCAGTTGTATGCTGTTTGCAGAAAAAGTATATCTTTCCTGGAATTAAAACATCTTTAAGTTTATAGGAGAAGTGACACTGATGTCAGAAGGTGGTGAAAACCTGGTAACACTTTGCTTTAAGGTGACATAGTAACATGCACTTACTGTAAAAGTAGATTATGCATAATTGCAATTAACTAGCCCTAAAAACTAAACCCTAATCCTAAGCGTAACCCTATAGTAAGTACATGTAGTTGATTAATATTACTCAGGACTTATTTGTGTAATTAAACTCTAACAATGTCACTTTAAAATAAAGTGAAATCAAAAAACTTTCCAGTTACAGCATATGAAAACGGACACTTAAAATCTCTGCAAATTTGTCATCAACACATACATACACATAGAAAACAACCTGCAAGTGTTGGTAAGGAAAATAGACAAACCTGGTTGATATTAAGATATGCCTTTTCTATGACAACACCTTGCTCAGAATACTGAATGTTCAATGTCCAGTTAAGTCCCTGGGTGACATGCCAAATATTAGACATTTTAATATCAGAAAATCAGAAAATAACACATTGCAAAAAAATAAAATAAAATAGTGTTATATTCCATTTCAGTTACCCTTGCAGCCACAAAGGTGCATTTGTCTAGCATAGAATACTGTTTGCCATCAAATGTAGTGATGAACTGGCCTTCAATAATACACTTGGCTGGACATGTGTTTCTAGAACATGCCCAATTTCCTCTGATGCAGGTACTGTGGGGATAAAAACACCAAAAAATGTCTCAAGCGGTTTTCAAAATTGATTTCTATCGAAAGCTCATAATATGTACTTACATTTTTACGTACAAAAATGTTGTCTTTTGAAAAACCTTGCATGATTGTATGTTCTTGTATGATTTCAACAGTAACAGTATACAGTAATACTTCAATAAAAAATATTTTAATATGTTTAAAATTGTTCAGAAAGGTGCCAAGTAAATTATTCGAATGAAAAATTAAAAAGTGTAATAATGGAATTATTTAAAATCTTGTTGGCAAATAATTACCATGTCCAGAATTGGTAAAGGAAGCTATTAATAAAAAAATTCTTACCAGGTCTGGCACTTTGTTCTGCGCTCCTGCCCTGGTGCATACATTATCTTTGCATGCACACATGGACATTCCTCCACATTTATGGAATGGTAACCATCAACACGATCATTCAGGACCTTTCCTGTGATTATGAGAGAGAGAGAGAAAATGGACAAAATAGATAGGAAATAAAAAGATAGTAAATAAAAGAGATATTAAATAAATACACAATTTTTAATTGTATTTAATGCATCACTGGTTTGTTCAGTGAAGTGAAGTGAAGTAAAGTAAAGTAAATACATATTTCCCTTTTTACTGCTAATCAAGGACCAACCTTCAGCAGGCAGGCAGGTGCTGGTGAGTTCTGTGGTATAATTATGTGGGTTGCTGCAGGTTGGGGGGAAAGCAGGACCCATCTCTACATAGTGCAAGTCTCCAGGACAGTGAGGTTGGTCTACAAACAAGATTAAGTATTAGTATTATTAATAACACTGTAATATATATATATATATATATATATATATGATAACTTTTCAAATTAACTTATTATAAAATGTGGTTCTTACAGCAGTTGCTTTTTGATCTCCACACTGACCACACTGGACTGGAACTCCCACACATAAGCGAGAGCTCTTTAAAAAATGAGCAGTTTGCTTCTTGATGCCATAATCCTTTCATATTTTTGTAACACAGGGTCAGGTAGGTTCGATATTTAGTGGCGAGACATTCGTAAGCATGGGACAAAAGATCTTTACAAACCTAAAAAAAATAAAATAAAATTACGCAATCAGTGGATTTTAATATATTTTTTGGAGCCTTGTATATATTTATTGCCAGTATTTTAGCTTCTCGTAATCCATTGCATATTTCACAAACATAACACACAAAGTATTGCATTAAGAATAGCTTTATAATGCATTATATGAACAGGCTTCATAGAAAGTTCATAGAAAGTAATTGTAATGATAAAATCTATGAAAATGCTATGGTAAAAATAAATAAATAAACATTTTATTGGTTTCATAAATTGAAGTTCAGTCCAGTAAATCTTAAAATGTTGCTACTGTGTGTTATATATATATATATAT